GGTTTAACCGCTATTAGAAGTGCCCATATAAGAGCGGTTCCAGTGGAACCGCTATCATATACAACCATATTTTAAGATTGTGAAGTCTTGGGTTGAATTTCGCTTGAGCGACACTGGTCTCGCTTGAGCGAGACTAGTATCGCTCGAGCGACGCCACATGAACAAAATTGACATTCTCGGGTTGTTTTTCGTTTGAGCGATAGTGTCTCGCTCGAGCGACATCCACATTTTTTGGTTATGATCGATTACATTTTCAAATGATCGATCATATTTGAATATATATAATAGCGGTTAAGATTTAACCGCTATTAGAGGTGCTATATAATAGCGGTTAATGTTTAACCGCTATTAGAAGTGCTATTATAATAGCGGTAATGTTTAACCGCTATCATATACAACCACATTTTTCGATTCCCTGTCTCGCGCCACTTATCCCCAAATAACCCTAACTCTCGCGCCTCACTCACCCATTCCTCTTAACCTTGGCCAATATCTCCTCCTCACTCCCGGCGAGCCCTAGTCCCCTCACTGCTCCCCCCAAGTCAGCCCTCACCCTAATCCAACCTCCACCAAAGCTCCTCGTCAACCGCACGCCACCCTGTGAGCCACCGCTCCATCGCGAATCCCCGCGCTTCTCGTGAGCACTGCACCCCAACACCTGTTGTTTGGACCCCCAAACCCCAGTCATCACCACCGCCTCCCTGGCCACCATCGTGGCCATCCCTAAATCTCAACCTAACCTCCACCATCGAGGTCTTTCCACGCCTCAGTTGCCCCAATCGTGCCATTGAGTTCCCCGCGAACTAGAGGTGAGTCAGAGGGGTCACAGGTCAAGCGCTTCGGTTCACATTTTGCTGCTATGTTCTATTTCTTTTATGCCTTTTTACTGTGGATTGTTCTCCTTGGTTAAGGATGAATTGTGTGTTGGTCTGGTTTAAACTGGTTAGTTGTGGACAGTCTAAAAACCTTGATTGCATACCATTTTTTAAAACCTTGGTTATAGAATGCAGAAGGTGTCTTATGTCCTGTTAATGATTTGAACTTGTGCTCTGACAAACAGATTGAGAAAATGGAGAATTTCTTGAAGGAACCTAAGGGAGGATCATTGGACGAGAGAATTCTACCAAAAACTTGCTGGAAGTTTCAAGTGAGTTCTCGCTTTCACCTGGTTGTTAGGTTATTTTCCGAGTAATAGAAGAAGTATTGTCATTGAGGAGTGTTGGAATGTGATGTTTGTGCAGTCGTTCCTCGGGTCGTGCTGGGAAGCCTATTATAAAATGGACAGAGGTTAATGTTCTTTCTCACTAACTCATGTATTTTATTTCCGTGGGTTCCTGTGCGGCATCCTTCAAATATTGCTGTTTTCCTTTTCCTATATTCTTAGATGGTTGTGCCTTTTTTTTATGTAGTTTTTAATTAATCCTTTATTTTGGAGAAATTCTAGATTGAAAGTTGGTTTCAGGCTAGGCTTCAAGACTTAGCACTAGTCCCTAACAGGTGAGTTGATGGTTCCTAAATGTAAGGAAGGTGAGTCTTCCGGTGGACCTTATGGTTCTTAGCATAGTAAGTTGTTATGTTGTCTTCAAGTATTCAAATGGTCAACATTAGATTTATTTAATATAATTGCAGTGTTTTTCATTCGTTGCTTGAGTTATGGTAGGTTGCCTATTTTATTTTATGTTTCTCGTGTCTATGTCTGTCTGTCATCACATATTCAAATATTCAACATTGAATTATTTAATATAATTGCAGTGTCTACCATTGCTGCTTAAGTGATGACTTTTACGTTAAGCTGTTTTATGTTATTAGGAACATGTTTGGTAGAAGATAATATGATACTGAAGATGAGGAATAACTTGGCAGTAATGAAGGAACATGAAAGTGATAATAACATTCCCACCATAAAATTTTTTTTACTTTCTATTTTCCTTCTATTTTTGTATAGCTAGCTGCTACAGTTGTATTTATTGATATATTTGAGGAAACTTCTAATAAAATGAGTTATCTTGTGAGATTGTACCTGGACTGATTGTTTTACAGAGTTGGAATTTGAAGCAAGATCATCAAAAGATGGAGCATGGTGAGAACATGCAGATTATTTCAGTTAGCTTAAAATTTCCTAGCCATCACTGTTCATGAAGTATTTTAAATTTTAATGTATCTGAATCAAAAGGTTTCCTTATATACCTTTCCCAAGAATTCAAGAAAAATTCATGCAAACTTCTCCACCTTTTTGGAGGTCCTCTAACTGTTGATCCCTTCGTCATATATCTGTGTTCCCTTGACATGTATTCCATGTTGGTATAACTGTTGCTTGAAGTCTTCAATTGTGGAATAAACCTCTAGTTCTGGTTCATGATCAAGACTCATATCCTAGTGATAGTGGAATGAAAAAAGTAATTTAAATATGGATGCACCAATATCTATTCAGGTCATCTTATTATTAATTTATTATTGTTTTTACCAATTGGTCCACATTTCATGGATGAGAATGCATCTTAACTACTAACTACTAAGCATTCATTATGTAATACAATTGTGTCTAATTGGAGAAAAAAAGTTGTCTAATGAACTTGATATAATTAAAAATGTAAATAAATAAAAATAATTAACTTTGTTATTAATTTAGCGACCGATTTAGCGATCAGAATTTTTTATCGCTACAAATTTATTATAATATACAATTCAAATTTAGCGACCGATTTAAATTATTATTTAAATAATTCAATTAATATATTAGCGACCGATTATATCCGTCGCTATTATTTTTAACTTTGTCTCCAATTTAGCGATCAATTTAGCGACCGATTTTAATTATTATTTAAATAATTATATTAATATATTAGCGACCGAATAAATCGATCGCTATTTTTTTAAATTTTACCACGGATTTAGCGACCGATTTTAATTATTATTTAAATAATTATATTAATATATTAGCGACCGAATAAATCGGTCGCTATTTTTTTAAATTTTACCACGGATTTAGCGACCGATTTAGCGACCGATTTGTTATATTATTTTCGGTCGCTATTTTGGTCTCCAAACAATAAGTGACCAAATTATTTAGCGACCACCACCTGATCGGTCGCTATTTAGTGACTGATCTGTAAATCGGTCGCTAACGAATTAGCGACTTGCCCTTTTGCGACCACCCATTTCGGTCGCTAATTTCGATCGCTAATAGAATAGCGATCGATTTTTAGCCATTAGCGACCGATTTTTTCGGTCGCTAAAACCGTTTTTTCTTGTAGTGATTTAAGTTTTGGTAAATATTGTAACTATTAAATAAAATAACAAATGTGAATCACTACGAGAATTTACACATTAGCTATGGAATTTCATAACTATTCTATAATTAATCCTTTGCTAATATGTTTTATGACAAATTATTAACGGATTAAGTATGAAATAATCCCTTGTCAAATTCAAGTAGTTAATTAGACAAAACTTATTCTTTTTCTATTCTATAACAACTTCTATCACCAATTTATCACAAAGTCTGTCACTAATTTAAGAGATGAAGTGTTCTATTTTTCTAGATAATTGATCTCACAACTTTTTTGTTAGTATGAAGTTAAATTATCAAAATAATTTCTATTTGTAATTTATTTTTCTGTAATTTATCAATAATATTTTATAATTTATCTCTTGTTAATATGTAATTAATCATTTGCAATTTATTTTTCACTAATATAAAATTAATCCTTCATAATTTGTCTTTTACTTTGTAGCTAATTTTTGGAAATTTGTCTGCCTTTTATCATAACTCATCTCTTGTCATTTATCTTTCCTTACTTCCTAGTAAATCTTGTTAATTCGTAAGTAATCCTTTATAATTATTATCTAATTATTATCTAGCTAATTTGTAACTAATCACTCACAAAATATTGTCTAACTAATTTACAACTGATCTTACACTAATTTGTAGTTAATCTCGTAAATTTGTTATTATTAGCTCTCTAATACATAACAAAACTTGCATCTATTTTGTAGCAAAGTAGTAGTTGTTTGGATAACGTTATAATATTAAAAAGTTATGTATATTTTTGCAAGAAAAAAAGAGAAAATATTGTTTAAACAAAACTAAAATGATGTTTGATAATGAATGTTTTAACTAAAATTTATTATATCAACTAAAAAGTAATAGATCAATCCAATTAAAAATAAAAATAAAGTTTTGATTCTTGCAAACATATCTTCATCATTATTTTTTTAAAGTAAACAATAAATCGTTTTTGAAGGACTACCTTTCTTCTTGCATTTATTTATTGTTATATAAGTATTTGCATATTTGTTTGCACCGTGCTTGCATAATGAAGTTGTTTGAAGTGCAATTCTATGAATTCTTAGGAATAGATTTATGAATGAAAAAACTTATATTACACATAAATGAAAATTAATAACTTATTATAATATTTAGAGAGAACATCTTTTTACCCGTCTTCACATTTTGCTAATAATATTTTTAAACTTAATTGTATTAGGAAACAAAACATTACATACCGAAATTTTAGTTCCACTCTACGTCTAATACCAAAAATAAGAAACCTGAAATGATTGATAGAGAAGGAAATCTAAGTTGTAACATATGGCTGAAACAACTATGCAACTTTTCAGAGAGGAGTACAATTAAAACAAGACAAAACTACACTATAACTAATCTTAAAGAACAACTGTTAGAATATCATAGCATTTGATTATTAAGTAGTATTTTGACTTAAATTACCATTGTATTTGTACATTGTTAAGAATTGAAAATGATTTTAAGAAGTTAAGAGTTGAACTTGAACTAGTTTATTTCATAAGCTAGATGATTTAATATAATATAGCTAGCGGTATAATATGTTTATATTATAATACTCCACTACGCAACATCTCTCTCTTTTCCCCATTTAATCCCCAAATTTTCAACCAACTTATAAAGTTATTTGATTAACTCAATTAAAAAAATAAATAAATATAGAAGTAACATTAAAAAATGAAAATTTTTGTTCAAGATGAAAAACCTCAAAGATTTCAATCTAGGCATGGTATCATAAAATACGATGTTAATCAGCATATAAAAAAAAAAGTTTAATGTAAACATGGTTTTCATACGAGCTCCCCTAAGTCCAACGCAAAATTCATTAAGACAATAAATAATCAGAATATAGTCCATCCAAATCAATTGGAAACATAACAAATGATGAGGGTAGAGGCTTACGAATCAACTAGTTAAACAATAACCCAAAACTGTTAGTTTTGTGTTTCCTAAAATCCTAAAAATTTCTACAACGCCAAAGTACTTATAGAAGTTGCAGTAGTGGCAAACCACGAGCAGTAGCAACCACAATAGGAGGAACAACAATGACACCATAGGAGCGGCAATGGTGACCGCAGGAGCGACAACGACAACGACAACCACAAGCAGTGATAACTGCAGCAGCAACCATAGGAGTAATGACAACGACCAACGCAGGTGTGGCAATGACAGTGACAAGGTGGGAATGCAAGAGCTCTGGTGTGACGAAAACAGGAGCACTGACACAACGAGCATAGTTGCAACAACGACAACTCAGGAGTTCTAGTAATCACAATAGGAGTGGCAACGGCACCACAAAAGTAGCAGTTGTGACTGTAGGGGTGGCAACGGCGACTGTAGGAGTTACAACCATAAGGGCTGTAGTGAGGACCGCAAGAGCGGTGACGACAACGATAACAATCAACATAGGTGCGACAACAACAAAGGCGAATGCAAAGTGCGACAATCCTGTAGGTTTTCAATTTGGGATAAAAAAATGTTTGAAGTTGGAAATGCAAAAGATATTATGAAAAAACAGGAAACAAGAATAAATCTACGTTTTTTTATTGGAAGAGGTTATAAAACCTTCACAATTTAAAAAAAAATATATCATTATTATTAAACTAAAATATTTATATTTAAAATAATATTTAATTAAATATATTTCAATATGAGAGTTAATTTATTTTTATTTATTGTAAAGAATAATTTGTAAGCAAAATATTATATAAAAATATTGCATAAATAAAATTTAAATGTTTACAAATTTTCTTGCAATTTTATATTATATATATATATATATATATATATATATATAATTTGGAAAAAAAATTAAATAGTTTTTTGGTAGAAAAATTTATAATATTTCTTGTAGATATTTTTTTCAAAAAAAAAACATAATTAATTTTTAAAAATAATTATTTGTAGAAAAATTTACAAATACTTTTTTAAATAAATTTATTAAGAAAATTTCTACAAAATAAATAATTTTTTAGACTTATATTTGTGAGCAATATAGAAAGAAATCTCTAATAAATTTGGAATGAAACTATGAAAAAAATATTTTGTAACAACTATGTACGGTTTTCAATTTGATATCTGTGATAAATTTATGATGAATTTATTATAATTTAACGATGATAGTAAGTTATGCAATTTAGCTAGAGAATAATTTGAGAAGAGTAATATACCTAAAATTAAAAATTTCTTTTTTTAATTATTCTCTTATTCATAGTGAAGGATTAGTAATAAAATTTTTTTATCTAAATTATTTTTTTATTAAATGAGAAAATGGTAAGAAAAAAATATTACTCTTTTAGTTATTTTGTTGTAGATTAAATATGATTTTATTCCTTCGTTATATTATCATCAATTAGTTACGGATTAATAAAAAATATATTTCATAATAAATTTTCATAATTAATTGTCAATTTTTTTAAGTTAAGATTTCTTTTTCAAAATATATAAATAGATTATGAACGTCTATTTGTTTAGTTCTTTTAACTGTACCACCAAGACCATTTGTAGTGTGAACAAATATATAAATGCATATCAATTCTAAAAATTTTGACATAAAGAAAGTCGTGTACAATTTCAGAAACAAGAAGAGAAGAAAATCAAAATGTCCTAAAATTCATCTATTTAAAGTCTATCGGAATGACATTTGAAAATTGTAAGAAAAAAATTAGAACTTAGGAAATAATTTTTATTTTTATATACAGTTACTGTGAATCTTAATCTATAGATTGATTATGTTGACATTAATAGTAAAATTACAAAAATCTAATTTAACTAAACTGGTTCGAATAACAAATTTCATGAATCGCATGTTAATGAGGAATGAAGATGGATTGAAAAATTTAATTTTTGATTATGTCTTATAAGATAGTTAGATAGTTGTGTGAATAGTTTGTGTAAAACTAAATAATCTAATCTTTGTTAAAATAAAGAAGGTAAAAAGTAAAAAAATAATCAATTATGTTAAAAATTAAATATGTATTAATCGATTAGATAATTACTTAATTGATTATATGACTTAAATTTATATTTTTATAACATGCGGTAATAATCGATTATGTGGTCACTTAATTGACTATGTGTCTAAATCTCTATTTTAACATAACGGTTATATAATCAATTATGTTGGTATCTAATCGATTATATAGCTTATTTTTAATCTGTCACTGCAAACAAATAATCGATTAAATGTTCTGCTAATTGATCATCTGAATCAGTTATAACATATTTTTACTCTATAAAAGGATAAAAACTTTCTTCTATTAAAAACATCTTTTAGAAACGATTAAATCAATTAGAAAGAACGTTGTGATCATCAAGAAAAATGTGTGATTCTATAAAATGTTTTGAAGATCAAACTCAAAGAAGAGGTTATTTGTCTATAGGATACAGTGTTCTAAAAGTCTAAGGTGAGATCATTCTTGTCTTTTTCTTTGTGAATCTTTTATTGTATTTTGATGTATATGAGGTGAGTTATATCAAATTAGCTTAAAAATTGTGAGGACAAACATTTTCAAGTGTTGTGATTTTTGTTTAAATCTTGATTAAAGGTTGTTGTAGTCAAGATTGTCAAGTTAGGTTGTAATCTGGTTACTAAACAAGTTTTAATGAAAAATTCAAGCTAAGGTTGTTTGGTTAGACTAGATATAGATTCAAAATAATTCAACTAGTATAAACTCTTGTGTTTTTTCTTTCTTTTCCTTATCTTGATATTCTTGTGATTTTAATATTGTTTGAAGTTCTTTTAAATTTTATTATCAAAAAAATATTTTAAATAATTGATTAGAATTGAAAAATCCAATTTACCCCCTCTTAGATGTGTTCGAGACATTCACATTTTACTAGCATCTCAACCTAAAATTTCGTGTAAATACTTCTAATTTTTACTACCATATATTAATCTTCCATTCATTTTCACTAGAGCAACAAAATGGCAGTCCAACCTAGTGTGACCTAACTCTACAACCTAGTGTGACCGACTCTACGGTCAAGTGAAAAATTTAATTATCTGCCTTGACCTATATATTTAAATGAGTCATAATTTTTTATTTAACCTTATCTTATGTTAGGTCAATAGGCTAAAAAGAATATTTTTGGTTTAATTAAAAATAAAAAATGATTTAACATGTTTATATATAAAAATTAATTAAAAATTTTAAATAAAAATTAAAATATATTTAAAATTCTCAATTATATTAATAAAATAAATTTTATTTTAAATATAATAATTTAATATATAAATTATAAGAGAATAAATTCATTTAGTCTCAAAATAAGAGTTAAAAAAATACTCTTCATTATAAATTTTGTTTAATGATTTATTAATCTAAAAGAATAATTTATTTTAATCATAATAGAACAGGTGAAGGTTAAAGAATACCTCTTATATTTATGTTTAAAATAAGTAAATCTTTTATAAATTAATTTATTATATATATATATATATATATATATATATAAATAAAATAATATTATTTTTATTTAAAAAATTATTATTATTTTATGAGTCAACTCATAAATTTATGAATTAGTTCTATCTAAATTGGTATACGTCATAACTTAAATACATTTAATTTATTTATAGAATAAACTGATCTATAAGAATTTTAGACTCAACTCAACATATTTTAACACCCTAATTTTAACCGGTCATTATTATTTTTGTTTTGTTTTATTTACGTGTTGGTTACAAATTTATGCTTTTATATTTAACCATAGGTAATCAAGTTTCATTCCAACTTAATCTAAATATTAGTAAGTCTACTCTCAAATTAAATATATTATCCGTTTTTTATTATAATTTATGTTTCCTCTTAACTCTTACCAGCATATTGAAATTATAACTATTTATTATTAGTTGACTTTGTTTTTTTAAATGCATGTGATGAGGATATCATCCGGTGCACGATAACGGTTGATTATAAATTGAACTTTATAGTAGTCCTCGGATGAGGGTGAATTTAATGACCTTAATTAGTCGTATTGATGAAGAAATGAAATAATTGAAAATAATATTATTTGTTTATTTATTTATGATTTAGATAACTAAATATTAATTTTTATATTAAGTAGTATTGTTTTATTTATTATGCTATTTTATTTTAAATTAATAATGGGATATAGAAATTAGAGAATAAATTACTATATATATAAATAAAATTTATCTTATAATTACACTATATATATAGTATTGTAGGAATTATCATTATTTTATTTTATTTTTACCAAAGAGAACAATTTTGATTTATATTCGTATTATCAACATGAAATAGTGAATATTAACCACCCGTGTTTAGTATAAATGTAGACTAAGTTTTGTTTCAGACATTGGCATCTCAAAAAATAGATATCATGCTTTATATATATATATATATATATATATATATATATATATATATATATATATATATATATATATATATATATATATATATATATATATATATATATATATATATATATATATATATATTGAAGGAGAGAAATGCATTGAGAGAGAAGAGAATAATAGATTGCCTTTGAAATGAATTAACATTAGATAGATAAGTCAGACCCTAAATAATGTTTGAATGTATAGGATCATCCAGATTATGTTCAACTTGGAAACTTGATAGAGTAATTTTTCATTATTCATTCCACAGAAGATTAAACTTATTTTTTAAATAACACAGCATTTCACGTCTTGATTCACGGTTTTGGTGATGAGTTAAAATACGAATTCATAACAATATCACAATTTTCATATTTAGAACCATTACCATCACCATTAAAAGTTGCACCTGTGTTCACAATATTATTCACCACTGTAGCACGTTGCTCGGAACCTCCTTCATAGAGAATGTACTCTCTGCCTTTGATAATACCTTCCATCAACTTTCTCACAGCTTCTTCAGTGGGCTTTGTGTTCACCTCGCGCAGAATCAATGAAGCCTCAGATTTTAGTTCTTTCACCAAACTCGTGCATTTAAAAGGGCCTCTAAACTCTGCCCTAAGTCCTCTCGTTTTGTCACACTCGATTATCACATTGAATGCGATGTGGGTAGCACCCACGTAATACCAGTGACAAAACTCCCAATTCACCTTCTCCACGGAACTCATGTTTCCAACTTTCCTCATCACTTCGTAGAAACAACTTTTCCTTCCACAAAGATCGCTCAAATATTTGTTGGCACAAACTGCATCCACAAAGTCGATCGGGATGAATATGATGAGAAAAATATCTGGGGTGTGATCAAAAGATTTTCTCAGGTTTAAAACGTGTGATAAGTGATTTTGGGACATAAAAGAATCTCTCTCAAATGTGAAGGGGTATGATAAAATTATATCACTCGAGTGAAGAGGTATGATACAAAATTTCCATGATGGTAAGGGGGTATGATTAAAAAACCCTCCACAAAACGAGAGTTTAATGAAAAAGTCATTCTTAAGATAAGAGCAAGAATAAGAATGTGTGATAATATCTCATAATAATTAGATATATTATAATAGATATATGAGTACAAATCTTATTTTATTCAACTAAATTTTGTAAGATTGAATAACGTGATACTAAAGACGAGAATACATGACAAGTCCTTTTAATACGAGGGACGTAATTAGAAATCTGGGATAAAATACCACGTCTACTGAAAATATAAAAATATTAAATATATAATAGAGTATAATATTCTCCTCTAACTTTGTAAAATTGAGTTACCTGTCTCACCATTTTTAATAAAATGTAATTCAAGCGTTACCGTGACTATGCATTACACCTTTTATGTGTATTGTTATTATTTCAGCTAAGGTAATGAAAAAGTCATTTTGAAAGTTTGATTGAGTTATCACTCACCATTGAATCCATCATGTATAGAAGTGTCATCTGTGATGACTTTCACTGCCACAAAGTTGAAACATTTGAGGTTGTCTTTCTGAGCAGTGAGCTCCATGCGAAGTTCACGCTTTGGATGAGCGTCACAGAAAGAGTTAGAGAGTTTCAACAACACCCTTTTTGAGTTGAAGCTTAAACGGAAAATGCTATGCTTGGATTTATCAGTGAGGGAAATGTATATGAGAGCTAACTCTTGAGGAAATTCCTCACTTGACCATCTGTGAAGCTTCATACTCAAACTTTAACTTATCTTATGTTACGTTGGTACCTTGTGCTTGGGGAGTATATATATATAGCTAACTTGGTTGATGGAGGTTTTCATAAAAGAATGACGAAAATAGGTGTTGTCCATTCTTCCATAAAACTATAAGTTGCATGGAATGTTACATACTAACAACCAAATAAATTGGATGGAGGTTTCTCACCTATCAAGGACAATATTCACCCTTTGATAGCTTGCTACTGCCAAACCCACTTCTTGCCAACTCAAGAGACCCACTTCTTGGCAACCGAAGAGGGTGTAGCCCCAAAGTTTTCTAATTACCATGTAAGGTGAATGTTTAAATTTAATGAACATTTAATGATATATTTATTTGTATATTTATAATTTTATTTTTTCAGTTTTTCTTTAGTATTGTAATTCTCAGTATCATTTATGTTTTTTAACCTTTAAACTTAATAATCATTTAATATATTTAAGTATATATCTACAATTTTATTCTTTCACCTTTTTATCTTCTTTTTCCTTTTATATTTATTTATTATTTATTAATAATATATTATTTGGTTTTTTCGCCAAACCTGTTTGTTTTTCAAAGTTTAAATCTCGGCTAAAACTTGAGCAATTGCGGGGGACCATTGACTTAGCATGGACTTTATGTTTCAATAATCTTAACGTGCGTGGTTAATTTTCTAAAATAATAATGGTAGCTATTTATTATTAATAATTGTCTTTTTTATTAATTCAACTTTATAGTACTCGTAGAATGAGATTGTCTTCAAAATTTTAATTGTATTTAATGAATAATTTATGGTTGATATTAATGTTATCTATCAATAATTTTGATAATTTAATATTGATCTAATATTTTTAATATTAACCATTATCATTTTATTTATTATTTATCATTATTTTATTTTAATAATTAAATTAATTAGAAACGAAATTTATTATTATTATTATTATTATTATTATTATTATTATAATAATAATAATAATAATAATAATAATAATAATATAATTATATATTGATATGGTATATAATCTATTTTATTATGCAATATTATCATTAAATATTCCCAAAAATTCCTATTATATAATAAAATATATAATGTTTCGAATGTTAATATTTGATATCGTTTAAGAGTCGATGTTAATGATAATTTATATATATCTTTCTCTTCTAATTTACCAAGATGTCTTTTAAGCATAAAATCATCACGTATTAGAACTTTAAAATGGACAATGACTCAGATGTAGAAATTAATCTTAACGATGTTATCATAGTGGAAATAAGTGAAAATAAGATCAAAATACATAATTATTAGTCTTGCTAATTACTATTATTGGCAGTTGTTTCAAAAAAATTACTTAAATTGAATAACAATATTTAATATAATTTATTATAATTAGACTCACTAATGTATATGTGGTACAATCACTACAAGAAAAAAGCATTTTAGCGATCGAAATTAATATATCAAATTGGTCGCTAAATCGGTGACAAAGTTAAAAAAATAGCGACCGATTTAAATCGATCGCTAAATCAATAACAAAATTAATTATTTTTATTTATTTACATTTTTAATTATATTTATTATTTATTTCCCCTACCTCTTTTTATATTATATTTTTTAGAAGTTTAACTTATTATTAGATTTATTGTCATTATCGGGATTCAAACCCGATACCTTAGAGTTGGAGGCTGAAACTCCAACCACCGAGCTACTAGGATTTTTTAATAATAACTTACAAATAAATTATATTTATATACAAATAAATGTATATCCAGTATAAATATATAAATATAAAATCTATAAATAAAAATATATTTATATATTTTAATATATATTTAAATATTAATACATTGATATATTTATATATTGATATATTTAAATATTGATATATTTATATATTGATATATTTATATATTGATATATTGATATATTTATATCTTTATATTTTTATATATATATTTATATCTTTATATTTTTACATATATTTATATCTTTCCATATTTATATATTTATATATAAAGATATTAGTTTTGTATACAAATAATATTATAATATAGTATATTATACTATTAGTATAGTATACAAATTATATATTAGTATAGTATAGTATACAAATTATTAGTTTTGTAATTTATACACTATAAAAATAAATTACAAATATTATAACATAATGGTATATTAATATAATATAATATATTTGTATTCTAATTTTTAATTAAACTAAAATTACGCTAATAATGTATAATAATATATGAGGGGATAATATTGATATATATATATATATATATATTTATATAATGATATATTTATATATTAATATATTTATATATTTATATTTTGATATATATATATATATATATATATATTGATATATTTATATATTTATTTATATCCTTATACATTTATATCTTTATATATTTGAAAAAAAGATAAAAATTTAAATATTAAATTTTAAAAATAATATTATATTTTTAAAAATAAATATTAGAAAAAGATTTAAAAATATATATAAATTATATTTACATGTACAAAATATTAAAGATATATATTTATATCTTTACATACTTATATCTTTATATCTTTATATCTTTACATATATTTATATCTTTATATCTGTACATATATTTATATCTTTATATATTTATAAAATCTATAGATACAAATATATTTATATATTTTAATATATATTTAAATATTGATATATTGATATATTTATATATTGATATATTGATATATTTATATATTGATATATTTATATATTTACATATTTATATATTTACATATTTATATATTTACATATTTATATATTTACATATTTATATATTTACATATTTATATATTTATATACTAATATACCATTATATTATTTTCATTGTATATAAATTACAAAACTAATAATTTTTAAAAAAATTAATGATAATTTTTTTAACTTATATATTACAAAATATTTTTTAATACTTTAATAAATATAACTTTTTTTAAATATTTTCATTAATTTAAAGTATAACTTTTAATATTTTTTAGTATTTTTTTAAATGTAGATATCTTTAATATTTTGGACATATAAATATAATTTATACATGTTTTTAAACCTTTTTCTAATATTTGTTTTTAAAAATATAACATCATTTTTAAAATTTTATAGATTTATTTCCAATCTATAATTTGAGTTTTTAAAAATGTTTATTTCCAATCTATAATTTGACGAAATCACATAGAAATGTATTATATGTTATTTTGAATATTTTAAAAATTTAATCGATCATCATCAAAACTTACATTAACTATTTTTTTTAATATTATGGTTTTAAATTTGGTAATACAGAAAACGTTTTAGAAAGAAAAATGTTAAATACTTTTAAATATTAAAATTGACTTTATAGAAAATTAGGAAAAAAAATAATCAAAAAAAGTTAAAAAATGTATTATAATATTTTCAATTTAATTTAATTATATTTTTCATTCTCAAAGTAGAAAAATATATTGTAATTATTTTCATTTAATAAAATATAATTTAAATTTTTAATACTAAAATTAAAAGATTAAATAATAATAAATTTAATTCTTTAAATTTAGTATTTAGAAACTAAAATTATAGTTTCTCTGTTTTAAAAAATTAAAATAAATATTTTAAAATAAAAATCAAAACTAGTATTATCTTAAATTTATTAAAAGTATAATTAAATCTCTATATTTCTTAAATTTTTCTTTTTTTAACTTCTCAATTACTGCATTTTTGTCAATTCCATCATTATATTATCATCCTCATCTCCTCCCATGTTCTACTTTATGTTTACAATAATTAATATTCTTAAATAATTTATATTTTTATTTATAATTTTTTAATATATATTTGAGAAATTAATCAATTATAATCTATTATTTGAAAAACTAATCAATTCTAATCAATTATTTAGAAAACTAATCGATTATAATTAATTATTTGAAAAATTATCTAATATGATCGGTTATTTGAAAATGTAATCGATCATAATGGTTGTATATGATAGCGGTTCCACTGGAACCACTCTTAAAACGAGAACATCTAATAGCGGTTAAACCTTAACCTCTATCTAAAATACTGATTTAGATAGCGGTTAGCGTGGAACCAGCTATCTAAAATATAGTTTACATTAACTATTTTTTTGAATATTATGTTTTTAAATTTGGTAATACTAGAAAACATTTCAGAAAGAAAAATGTTAAATACTTTTAAATATTAAAATTGACTTTATAAAAAATTAGGAAAAAAAAATAATAAAAAAGAGTTCAAAAATGTATTATAATATTTTTAGTTTTAATTTAATTATATTTTTCATTCTCAAAGTAGAAAAGTATATTGTAATTATTTTAATTTCATAAAATATAATTTAAATTTTTAATACTAAAATTAAAAGATTAAATAATAATAAATTTAATTCTTTAAATTTAGTATTTAGAAACTAAAATTATAGTTTCTCTATTTTAAAAAATTAAAATAAATATTTAAAAATAAAAATCAAAACTATTATTATGTTAAATTTATTAAAATTATAATTAAATCTCTATTTTCTTCAATTTTTATTTTTTTAACTTCTCAATTCTGCATTTTTGTCAATTCCATCATTATATTATCATCCTCATCTCCTCCCATGTTCTAGTTTATGTTTACAATAATTAATATTCTTAAATCATTTATATTTTTATTTATAATTTTTTAATATATATTTGAGAAATTAATCAATTATAATCTATTATTTGAAAAACTAATCAATTCTAATCAATTATTTAGAAAACTAATCGATTATAATTAATTATTTGAAAAATTATCTAATATGATCGGTTATTTGAAAATGTAATCGATGATAATGGTTGTATATGATAGCGGTTCCACTGGAACCACTCTTAAAACGAGAACATCTAATAGCGGTTAAACCTTAACCTCTATCTAAATATACTGATTTAGATAGCGGTTAACGTGGAACCGCTATCTAAAATATAGTTTACATTAACTAT